GCCAAATTGAATTGTGGACAGTGATCTGAATCAATGGATAGAATCACTGTCCCTGATTTGGGCTGAATCTGAATCAAATAGGGCCCATTTCGCACACTCCTAGTGATAACTACCAAGAAGAAGGGCATGACAGTCTCATGGTATTTGCAGGATATGAACAATGAGCAAGGACAGGAATTATTTAGCCTGGCACAGTGTGGTATGGAGACTAGAGGTGGTATGGGAAGAGAGGACTCAACCTAAGGAAAATGCAGCCTGAACGTGAAACCAGAGACCCCTGACAGAAAGAAGCATTAGTCTATGGGAACCTTGGTGTGGTAATCAGGGGCTATGTGTAGGGGGTGCACGTGCATGCACATGTACCCCCTGAGCGTGGCAGTGCACCCCCTACAAAAAGGCCTGCCACCAACACTGCTGGTGGCATCTGCAGGTGGCCTGCAATCCCCAGTCGGTGCTCACCACCTCACTCCCTCCCCCACCGCTGACAGTGCTGGTGGCGTCTGTGGGAGCTCCCCCGCTTACCGCTGCTGCACTCCTGCCGCCGCCATCATGCTCCCACTGCCACTGTCCCCCCCGCCCCAGCCGCTGGGGGCACGTGTCATTCATGGTGGTAATGAATGTTCTGTATAGGCAGAGAGGTGGTCAAATAGTTGGGTTCCAGTTCTTACTACATACTTAATCTATTGCAAAGTCCATGTTTTTATGGGGACAAGCCAAGCAGGAAAGGATCAATGTATAGCAGAGAAAAAAATCAAGTTGCCATAGAAAGGAGGAGCTGCCCAGGGATGCCAGGCATCACTGTAACCTGAGCTGTATAAGGCTGAGGTTAGGTGTCCAGACCCAGCAGATAGTTACAAGAGAATAAGCACTTAGATCTGATCAAGGAGATTTTTAGAAAATGCTCCCAAGCTAACTGAGTCTAGGGCTGAAGCACTCTTGGCTACATACTTGTAACCTTAGGTTTGCTCCTGATGGTGCTAACAGTTCTGAAAATAGTAGGGAGAGAAAAAAAACCTACTGGAATTTTAAACAGAGCATCCTAGCAAGACTGGCCTTTTAGCATGAACTCATACTGCCACCTGCTGCTTAACATTTTTTGTTGCATGTAAAGAATGAAGAATGAACTTTTCCAGTGAATTCGGGCTTCAGCATGAAACATCAAGGTCCAGAGCCCTGGCTAGATGTATATCACCTTTATTTTACATGACGTATGGCTGTGCAGTTGTCTGCAGCCAGTGTGACTTAATATCTTCTTCATTGTTGTGTCTCCAGTCCAACCTTTCTATATGGTCTGTTCCCAATATTCTGCACAGGCCGCTGCTTCTGGTGTTAGTATTGCCAGATCTTGTGGGGTGCGTTGTGGTGCTACAGGGCATCTCAGGAGATGATCCATGGTTTGCTTCTCCTGACAAACACATTGGTTAGTTGTATAGAGGCCCCATGATTCCATGAGAAAGTTGCATCTTCTGAGACCCACTCTCAATCTGTTCAGGCTCCACCACATATATCATTTGTAGTTGGAGCCGAATGCTAGCTCCTCACTGGCAGTAATTCCTTGCTGGTTCCATTCAACAGCTTTGTTGCCTAGTTTCTCCCATTCTTTTTGCCAGGGAGTAGTTCTGTCTGATTTTAGTGATGTAGTCAATGGTGTGGTAGAGGACAAAAAGCTATTTCTGGATGAGAGACGATGGTGCACTGGTTGATTTCCATATAGCAGGTGGCAGTCGGCTGACTCTTGTATCTGCTGGTCAATGGCATCTACTACTTTCCTTCTGATGTATGGGGGTGTTATACCGGATAGTGTGGATAGGCAGGGAAAGGGGGTGGGTTTCAGGCAGCTTGTTATAATTCTGCATGCATCATTTAGGGCAGCATCAATACATTTACTGTGACTTGTGCATTCCCAGGTGGTACAGGCATGTTCAGCCACAGAGAAACAAAGTGCTAAGGCAGTAGTGCATAGGGTCGATGGATGTGCTCCCCACTTGGAATTTGTGAGCTTACACAAAATGTTGTTTTGTGTGTTGACTTTGTATTTAATATGTACTTTTTGTAACAAAGTATACAGTCCAGTGTTACCCCTAAGTACAGTACCATACCTAGACTCCTGGCAGCACCAGGTGAACTTTTAGTATCAGGCCCCCTTTCACCAGAGTTAATGATAATCAAATAACAGATTTGGGCCAATACCATTTTTGGGCCCCCTTTCTGTCCAGGCCCCAAGTGGCTGCCCGGTTCCCATGCCTGTGTCCACCTCTGCCTAAGTAAACCAGCTGTTCGAGATTCTGGTCACCCCAGGTGACATAACTTAGATATATTCAATATACACTTAGTTACATGGGGAGTAAAATGGATATAGGCCCTTGGGCTCTGGAAGCATTACTGTATTTTATTGCGTACAACACACCCCCAGAATATAATGCTCACCTTATTTTTGAAAGGCAGAATGAAGAAAAAGTAGCATTAATAAGTAACCTTTTAGTAAGTAACTGAGGGCCTTGTTACACCATACACTGAAGCTAAACAAATGTTAATTGACTTAGTGTTGTTCAGCTTAGCGGAGCAGTTGCACATTAAGGCAAAAAAGGCGCTCTGACTGACCCATACCGGACGGCTGTGACTTGCCACTAGAGACTTAGTGAGCAGGCACTGTGACCCATGTGTCTTTGCTCACTCTGACTCAAGAGGGACCACTATCTCCTAGGATGCTGGAGGACTTCAACTTGGGCAGAAAAGCTGTGGAGAGGAGCCACAAGTTAACGGAACAGAAGCAAAATTAAGTGGATTAGAAATAATACTGCCCTGGAGTGGCATAACATTAAACCAAATGAGTGTTTTAAGCCACTTAAACTGTGCTAACGTGCAGCCAGTCCAGGGGCTCAGAGCTCCAGAAGCCACCTAAAGTTACAGTGTAACAGGGCCCTGAGTAGCAGCAGCTAGGGAGCAGAACCTGATCATTGTTCTGCTCCCTATGAGTCACGTGCACGTTTTACTATCACTTTTGCCAATAACATGCAGGAACTGCTCTAATTGTATTTCTCACATATAATGCACACTATGATTTCCAGTAGCTGGGTTGGGAGGGGTGGGGTGGTAAACACTGTTTAATATGAGGAAATACGGTAATAGCTTTGTCTTCTCTCTCCCAGAGACCTTTTACACACCTTGTGAACAGGGACAAAAGACCCAATTTTTTGCAAGCAACCCTTTAGGTAGCTCATCAGAGTGAAGCACTGCCAACAGAAGGAAGGAGATACATATTTGCATCCTCCTGAATCTTTCTGCAGCATTCAGTATGGTCATTCACATGTTATCCAGATGCCCAGGGAATACACTGAAATGGTGGAAGGCCTGAGACTGCAGTAACTTGTGCCACCAGCTGAACAGGCCCATGGTCAGGCTCATAACTGAGAAAGGCAGAAAAGTAGCTTAAGGTCACCTTTACCTCTCCCTATTCCCCTGAACAGAGTATGAACTGGGCACAGCTGAGGAATAAGTCCAAAGTTTACATAGTATAATCAAGCCCAGTTTGCCTCATGACCAACTGGAAGGACTGAGGCAGTTTCTCCTTAAGGCTGTTGTTCTGTTCTTGTGCTGGCTGGATAATGCTGACTAGAGGTTCTTAGTGATTCCTTTGACCATACCAATTTGATTAGTTAATGGGATGCTAGTTTGTGTGTGTCTTATTGTCTAGTTATTTAGGAATCAGAAAAGCCACCTGAATGATCACTGACTTTTTACTTGTATGTGCTTTATAGAAGCTCAAGCACTTCCAATGAAGGAGATTAGCCTGTAACATTTTCAAATCCTTTCCATTCATATAAACCATAGCTTTTTGCAAACAAAGATTTTGGAATAGTACAATGATACACTGGCTGGTAGAGGTGAGCAAATAATGGACAGATCTGTCTACAAACATTGCTTTGAATTTGAAAGTGGATTGTGACTCAGCTGTACTTTTGTGACCTTTTGCATTTACTTTCCACAAACATTTGAGCTCCTAGGCTTTCAGATCTTTACCCAGGGAAAAGTGTAATAGATGCACTGGATTCTCTGGAGCAATTGACACTTGTTGGGGATCTACCCTTTGAGTTTGGCAGGACTACATGCAAAACACGACTATTTGGTTTGAAGGCTGTTGCATTTCTTGTGGTAGGGGTGGGCTGTTGTTGCAGCCATGATGATCCAGGAAATCTGCAAAAAGGAAGTGTTTTTTTGTTGATTTATTTTATTGGATGGACTCCAATAAAAGATATCACAAAAACTGTTCTATTTGTTGAAAGTCCAATCCTTGCCCATGGAAAGCAATGAAAAAGTGCCCTGTGAGTTTAATGAACTAGCCCTGACAGCAAAAGCTAATTTCAAATGGTATAGTTCAGTCTACTTCCTTTTTAGTTCCACACAACATCCAGTCAGAGAACAGAAAAAACTGCATGTGACTTGTGATTAATCATCACTGTGAATTTATAAAGATATGCTATAAATTGCTTGTAGAACATAGATCTGATCCACAGCTCCCTAAACCAATGGAAGTCTTTCCTACATTCAAAGAGCGCTGGAATACGCTCTTGTAAAGAACAAAATACGTATGTTAAAAATACACAAATATGTTCAAATGAATACATCTGAGAAGTCCAGAATTCAACAAAAGAGCAATATATGTTGAATTTGTTATTCATTATCAACTCTTCACTAGGCTTGACTAGTTTATATATGTATGCATAAGGCTCTTGTAGTCATTGAGATAAATTGGCCTACCCGAGATATTTTGTTTGTAGTAAGATACAGAAAATAAAGTACAGTGGTTTTGGTGTGAACCTTGTGAGGTAAATCTGTAGAATGTCACATTTTATCTTTCAAATTATATTTGCAACATGACTTGCACGTTCAGTTGTGCCTTCAGAAATCATTAGTCCAGTTCACAAAAATAACAAGATTGGCTTGAAAAACTGCTATTTTTAAATATCACAGGTTTTAAGGTCTTTTTGTTTGCCTTCTAGATTTGAGCTTTCAAAAGACTGTGTTTTCAAGCTTCTCTCTGCATCCATGAGAGGTAAAATTCACCTTTTAAAAAACAAAAGCTGAGATCCAGGTGGAAGCGCAAAACTATAGAGACTGCGGTTTCAAGAAAAACACTGACTATTTTAAGTGTTGGCAACAATGAATTATTCCTTAAATAAACCCAGGATATGATATGACAGTGTGGCTACTAGCCTTAACCTGAAACAATAAGGTCAAATGTCTTTATTTTCCATAGCCAGTATTTCAGTCAGTTTTGTAAATCAGAGAATCATAGAAGAAATAGGGAGTGCAGGAACCAACTAGTCCAATTCCATAATCAAAGCAGGCTAATTTCTGCCTCAACTATCCCAGCTAAGAGTTTGTCTAATTAGCACTTGATGTGGGAAACTGAACTGAAAAAACCGTATAATTTCACAATATCTAACTGGCTCTTTTTCAGGTCTCAAAATAAGAGGAATTAGTGTGATATAACTGAGCATCCTATATCAGGGCCCATCATCAGAACCATAAGGTTGTTTCAGTAGGCCCCATCACTTCAGCTCCCATCCAACAAAGAACTTATATATATATTTCACTTTACTCATCTGGATAAATATACACTCCCATTGAATCACTGGGCTTTACGTACACGTTTAATGTTAAAAGCCAGTTTTGCTCAATTTTTTTGCTTTAAATTATGATTTAAAGGTTACACTGTCAAGTCTGGCCTGCCTGTTTAACATGGACCCAGATCAACTCCCCAGCTCCTTCTTCTGTATGTCAATCTCCCTTTCCAACTAGAAAACAATTCTGATACCTCCATGGCATCGTTAGTACCCTTCCCATGAGTCACACGGTCTATGGCAAGGGTGGGCAAAATCTGGCCTGCCAAGCACTTTAATCCAACCCGCAGCTCCTGCCAACAAATTGTACCCTGCTCAGTCCTTCTGCGCATGAGGGTGGGAGCAAGGCACCCACTATACACCCCGCCAACATACCCTATTGCACCTGGCTCCAACCCTTGTGGGCAGAAGGGCCCAGCCCTTCTGCAGCAGCAGCTGGGGACCTGCTTGGCCTCCTTGGTGTCCTGCGTGCTCTGGGCAGCGGGTAGGGAAGCAGTAGGGGCAGGGCCAGGGCTGGTGGGGGAGCTGCAGCTGAGCGGGAGCACAGAGCCTGAACCCAGGGGGCAGCAACAGTACAGAGCTCAGGTGGGTAGTGTGTGAGTGTGTGTATGTGTGGGGGGGGAATGAGCACGCCCCCATACCCTTCCCATGGTGTGCAGCCCCCACTGGCGGCAGCTGGAGCAACAGCAGACTGGGGTGCTCAAGGTGCTCATGCCTGGCATAGGCACTGCTGGCCAGTGGTGCGCAGCTTTGACCAGCACTGCACATCACAGTGAGGAGCGCAGCCTATATGAGCACCTCCCTCCAGAAGTGGTGCAGGCACCTACTATGGACTCTTTCAAGAAATGTTTGGATGCTTATCTTGCTGGGATCCTTTGACCCTAGCTGCTTTCCTGCCCCTGGGCCAGGGGGCCGGACTTGGTGATCTTCGAGCCTAACATCTATGAATTTATTACTATTGCATATATACATATACACACATATACATATACACCCCCAACATACCGTATGCCCCCCTCACACACAGCCACACTCCCTCATAAAGCCCCTCATACACTCCCCCACACAATATACAAGACTAAGACTTTATTTATGAGTTATTGTATGGAAACACAAATCATGACAAAATATTTGTTGTAATACAATTAAAGTATGTTATAGTAGGTGTTTGACTTTTAGTGTATGATTTGGTTTCTTTATGGTTCTAAAATGACAACCCCTGCCTCCCAAAAGGAATATTTCCGGTGGGCAAGGGGAAACACTTCTGGTGGCAAGGTCAGGGGTTAGAGGGCAGGACTTCTGGTCCCAAGATGGCACCCAGGGGGTGGAGCAATTTTCAAGGGGCGGAGATACCCACTCAGGCCTCAAAAGCTCACCAAACCTCATTAAGCAGCCCTCCAGCCAAAATACTTGCCCGCCCCGGTCTATGGGAAGAAATAGAGACTGAAAGGTGGTCTGAGTCAGTTTAAGGCTGAGCTGGGGAGATGCACATTGTTCCTCTCTGCTCCTGCAGACTCCAGGCAAAAAAGATAAATTCAGTCTCTAACTATTATTTCACCAGAGACAAAAGCAGCCTGGAGAAGTCCTGGCTGCACAGCTAAAATGACATTGGCTTGCTGGGAACCTGGAGCTGAGAGACTATGGCCAAAGGCTATGGCCTTGGCATCCTCTCAAAGCCTTTGCTGGGGGAGGGGGAGGGGGGAAAGCCCTGCCCCCATGTAATCAGATGATATCAAGGGCTTCACCAGCCCAATCTTGTTCACAGCTTCTGTGGCCACGTTCTAGATGTAGTTGGCTGCAATAACTCCATTGTCATCTCACTCCTGGCAAACTGCCAATAAAAGTATAGCCTGGCACAGCCTGAACCCTCTGAACCGAGTGTTAGCAGCATAATTTCAGCACACATGAGAGAATCCATTTTGTGAATGCACTGTGATTAACTTATTCTTTGGTCCAAGAACTAGGCAATAACCCCAATTATAAACAGAGGCATTTCCATCCATAGAGGTGTCTTTTGGGAAAGGAGCCCAAAACAGGTTTGGAAGCTTAACTTGCAAACCCTGCACCGACTCATGAGGAAATGAATGAGGGGAAATGAGCTCTCAGCCATCCCGTTAACAGCCTACCCTTTAACTGAAATCACCCCCTCCACTATCCCAGCAGTACTCTGGCAGTTGTGGGGGCACAGTGCCTTGCCTTCCTCACACACTGTGGGCACGTTTACACATTCATTAATGCACTATAGCTACTGCACATTAAGTTTAGTACTTGGATAACCAAGTACTAAATCAATGCACAGTAACTTGCGCTACTGCACGGCAGTGCTGGTACATGGGTTCTTAGTGACGCTTACTGCGCAGTAGTGTGACGGGCTGGCTGGCAGTGACCTGGCCCAGGGGTTCTGAAAGGGCAAAAGATGATTGGAGGACTTGGGATTCCCTTTCCTCACCAATCTGGTAATGATTTGGCCCA